GGTTGGTTAGTTTTGAAATGATTATGATTCTATATCGATTTGCCATAAAAAATTGGTATTGTACTTACCTACTATTGTAGTAACGTAGTAATTTTAAACAAGATTAAGTTGGAATAGTGTGATTTTTGTAGTAATTTGCTGTAAGAAAATTCTATTACCATATTTGCCAACTATTAGATGATACAAGTGATTAGGTAGGGTTGGTTAGTTTTGAAACATTCTTGATTCTATATTGATTTGCTTAAAAAATTAGTATTGTACTTATCACTATTGTAGCAACGTAAGTGATTTTAGACAGGATTAAGTTAGTTTTGTATTGGAATAGCGTATAATTTGCTGTAAGAAAATTCCATTACTATATTTGCTAACTATAAGATGATACAAGTGATTAGGTAAGGTTGGTTAGTTTTGAAATGATCATGATTCTATATCAATTTGCTGTAAAAAATTGGTATTGTACTTATCCACTATTGTAGCAATGTAAGTGATTTTAGAAAAGCTTAAGTTAGTTTGCTATAAGAAATTTGTTACCTTATTTGCTGACTATTAGATAATACAAGTGATTAGGTAGAGTTGGTTAGTTTTGAAATGATTATGATTCTATAATGATTTGCTATAAAAATTGGTATTGTACTTACCCACTATTGTAGCAACGTAAGTAATTTTAGACAAAATTAAGTTAGTTTTATACATGATTTCTGTAGTGATTTGCTGTAAGAAAATTCTGTTACTGTATTTGCCAACTATTAGATAATACAAGCGATTAGGTAGAGTTGATTAGTTTTGAAATGATCGTGATTCTATAATGATTTGCTGTAAAAAATTGGTATTGTACTTACCCACTATTGTAGCAACATAAGTGATTTTAGACAGGATTAAGTTAGTTTTGTGTTGGAATAGCATAGTAATTTGCTTTAAAAAAATTCTATTACTGTATTTGCCAACAATTAGATAATACAAGCGATTAGGTAGGGTTGGTTAGTTTTAAAATGATCATGATTCTATATTGATTTGCTATAAAAAATTGGTATTGTACTTACCCACTATTGTAGCAATATAAGTGATTTTAGACAAGATTAAGTTAGTTTTGTGTTGGAATAATGTGATTTTTGTAGTAATTTGCTATAAGAAAATTCTATTACCATATTTGCTGACTATTATATGATAAAAGTGATTAAGTAGGGTTAGTTAGTTTTGAAATATTTTTGATTCTATATCGATTTGCTTAAAAAATTAATATTGTACTTACCCACTAGTGTAGCAATATAAGTGATTTTAGACAGAATTAAGTTAGTTTAGTGTTGGAATAGCATATAATTTGCTATAAGAAAATTCTATTACCTTATTTGCCAACTATTAGATGATACAAGTGATTAGGTAGGGTTGGTAAGTTTTGAAACATTCTTGATTCTATATCTATTTTTTGTAAAAAATTGGTATTATATTACCTATTATTGTATCAATGTAAGTGATTTTAGACAGAATTAAGTTAGCTTTGTGTTGGAATAGCGTGATTTCTGTAGTAATTTGCTGTAAGAAAATTGTTACCATATTTGCTGACTATTAGATAATATAAGCGATTAGGTAGGGTTGGTTAGTTTTGAAATGATCTTGATTCTATAACGATTTGCTATAAAAATTGGTATTGTACTTACTGACTATTGTAGCAACATAAGTGATTTTAGACAGAATTATGTTAGTTTTGCATATGATTTATGTAGTGATTTGCTGTAAGAAAATTTTGTTACCATATTTGCTGACTATTAGATGATACAAGTGATTAGATAAGGTTGTTTAGTTTTGAAATGATTGTGATTCTATAATGATTTGCTATAAAAATTAATATTGTACTTACCAACTATTGTAGCAACATAAGTGATTTTAGACAGAATTATATTAGTTTTGTATATGATTTCTATAGTAATTTGCTATAAGAAAATTCTGTTACCATATTTGCTAACTATTAGATGAAACAAGCGGGTTGGTTAGTTTTGAAATGTTCGTGATTCTATATTGATTTGCCATAAAAATTAGTTTTGTACTTACCCACTATTGTTGCAACAAAAGTGATTTAGACAGGATTATGTTAGTTGTGTTGAATATTCGAGATTTTTGTAGTAATTTGCTAAATACTGTATTTGCCAACTGTTGAGTGATATAAGCAAGTTATGTTAGTTTTGTATTGTGATTTCTGTAGTGATTTAAGAAATTCATTACCTTATTTGCTGACTATAGTGAAACATAAACAGATTAGATAATTGTTAGTTTTGTATGAAATAATCATGATTTCTAGTAATTTACTATAAATTTTACTACTGTACTTACTGACTATTATGGTAATGTAAATGATTTAGATAGAGTAATGTTAGTTTTGTATAGAATAATTTCTATATTGATTTGCTGTAAAAAAATTCTTTTACTATACTTGCTGACTATTGTGGTGATATAAGAGATTTTGTTAATTTGTATTAAGATAGTCATGATTTCTTTAGTGATTTACTGTGAAAAATTCTATTACTGTACTTACCAACTATTATAGTAATGTAAGTGATTTAGACATAGTTATGTTAGTTCTGTATTGGAATGATTTCTATGGTGATTTGCTGTAAAAAAATTCTTTTACCTTGCCAAATATTGTGGTAAAATAAAAGATTTAGATAAGTTTATATTAGTTTGTATTGGAATAATCATAAAAAAAATTCTATTAATGCACTTACCAACTATTGTGATAGCATTAGACAAAGTTATGTTAGTTCTGTAATGGAATAATCATAATTTCTATATCGATTTGCTGCAAAATTCTGGTACCGTATTTGCTGACTATTGTAGTAAGATAAGAGATTTAGATAGGGTTAGTTTGAATTGGAATAATCATGATTTCTATAGTGATTTGCTATAAAAAAAAATTCTGTTGCTGTACTTGCCAATTATTGTAGTACATAAGAGATTTTATATAGGGTTATGTTAGTTCATATTGGAATATCATAAAAAATTCTATTATTGTACTTACAACTATTGTGGCAATGTAAGTAATTTAGACAGAGTTATATTAGTTTTGCATGGAATAATCAAAATTTTTATATCGATTTGCTGTAAAAAAATTTTGTTACCGTATTTGCTGACTATTGTAGTAATATAAGAGATTGGTTATATTAGCTTGTATTAGAATAATCACAATTTCTATAGTGATTTACTGTAAAAAATCCTATTACCATACTTACTGACTATTATAGTAATGTATATGGATATTGGCTTTGCATTGGAATGATCATAATTTCTATATCGATTTGAAAAAATTCTGCTACCGTATTTGCTGACTATTGTGGTAATATAAGAGATTTGGATAGGGTTATGTTAGTTTGAATTGGAATAATCATGATCTTTATAATGATTTACTGTAAAATAAATTCTTTACTATACTTACTGACTATTGTGGTAAAATAAGAATTAAGATAAAGATATGTTAGCTTGTATTGAAATAATTGTGAATTCTATAATAATTTACTGTAAAAAATTCTATTATTGTACTTACATACTATTGTGATAACATAAGCTATTTAGATAAATAGGTAATACTAATTTTAATCATAAAATTCTATTACTATACTTAACCGACTATTGTGATGACATAAGTGATTTAAATAATTTGTTGCAAAAATTCAGTTATCATACTTGCAGTAACATAAACGTAAAAATTATTTTTATAGTAGTCTGTCACTGTATTTACTCACTGTAGTGACGTAGTAATTTGGATAGTTAGATTTGTCAAAATTAAATTAAAAAAAAAACTTGTTTTCAACATAAAAAAAATTCAATGTATTGCAATAAAGCTTGATTTTCAAAAAGCACAAAATCAATTACAAATATATCATTTTATGTGATCTTCACATCAAATATAATTGTTAACCACTGCTTACAAACTTAATTTTTTAAAATTGAATAGTACCTGTGCATACTCTGGGTATCATATTTGGAGATATACCATATTACAGTATTAAATTAATCTAGTTACCATGGGCCTTATTCAAGGAAGAGGCTAGAAGAGAAAGTAATACTCAGGTTTTAATCATAAGATATTATTATCCTTGGAGGATACTGTAAGCAGTGGCTAATACAGTAATTCAAAATAAAAAAAGTAAAATCAGCAATGTTTGAAAATAACAAATTTGAGGTAAAATTTGAACATGGTCTTAAAACTAAAGTTTTTAAAAAGTTTTCACATTTGAATAAAAAAAACTGGATTTTGTACAATTCACTATTTGATGACATAATTTAAACTTTTATTTTTTTTATTTGTAATGCATCATGTATAATAAATCTGCAAAACCAAAAAACTATCTAAATACTTTACTAAAATATCATTGTCTCATTTTATAATTTGGAGATTGTTTGGAATCTTGTCAATAAGCATGTAAAGCCGATTAGCTTTCATCTTATAAATAAATTAAAAATATGATGGAAAAAAATTTTACCTTAGGTAGTATAATGAACATATTCTTGTGATAGGCTTAAGTTAGCATTCTTATTTTGGTTCCGGGGAGAAACCACTTCAAGATACTTTTTTGGTCAGCCTCACTTTCTTGGCTGGCTTAAATTAACGTCATCACTTTGGTTCTGAGTCAGAACCACTTCAAGATTTTTTGGGGGGTTCTGGGTCAGGACCACTTCAAGATTTTTTTGGAGGTTCTGGGTCAGGACAACTTCAAGATTTTTTTTGGTCAGCCCTGCATTTTTTTTATTACAGGTACATTCTCCTTTTTACTTCTAATTCTTCTTCTTTTTGGTCATCTAACAGCCTTGCTCTTTATAGGGTTATTGATTATTGGAAGCTCTGGGGATGCTGAAATATTCTTATGATTTGAACCAAGATCATTATTAGCAAAATATAGCACCTCTAAATACTTCTCAAGGTACAATGTAAAATCTGTATATTTATTAGGGTCCATTGCAATCTTGCTTGCAATTTCTTCTAATAATTGTTGGATATGTATAAACCAAATTCAAGAGTCACTTTTACTAGATGATTCATGTGATGCTAAAATTCCTGAGGTTTGTAATTGAGAACGGCTATAAAAATTAACATAATCTTTTGCAAGCTCCAACTCGGGAAGATCTTTTTGCTATCATTTTGAAAAATAAACAGGATCAAGATAAGCGAAAGATAGATGAACTGCAACTGCAAGAAAATGCCAACAAACTATCCCAGCAAACTCGAGATTACGGCAGCAACAAGAAAGTACATGACTATCATAGTAAACCTGATGTATAACATCAGGCCTTTCATAACGTGACAATTTGAAACAATGCACATCATCATAATCAGTTATTTCTTTGCATGCATATGCATCTTTCGCACTCCACTCAGCCTTAAATTTTTTCTAAGCATACCATATCAGACAACTAGCGGCTTGATTTTCAATAGAGTTTGAAAAAGTTAGGGGGGTAGGATAAACAAGCTACTTATAGGCAGAAATATGCTCAGCCTCTTCACAGAGATTAAGTGCACATTTAAAGGCTGCTAAAAATTCTGTAAGCCTTGTTTTACAATCGATAAACCTTTTTAACAAACTATTTATCGATTCCCCTCTTTTTGTTGATGACATGTCAGCAAAAAAATATTCTTTTAAATATGCTAGAGCCCACCGTTCATGCCACCGACTAAGAGCTTTCAAGTACGACTTTGCTTCAGCATAGTCATCATTTTCTATTATACAATTCCAAGCTCCTCAAATTCGTCTTGATCAATATAATGATTTAGGTATTTCATAAGATCTGCATGAAATATATTATATTTCTTTCCAAGTTTAGAGGTTATATTAGACCTTATATTCTTCAACATGTGCCAGATACAAAGACCATGCTTGGTACTGTGCTTATTGGTAAAGACTGAACAGATAGCATTGGACATTGTGAGATTATTATCTGTAAGAATAGTGTAGGGTGTAGTGCCAAAAATATGAATGAAAGATTTGAAAAGCTACTCAAAACTTGAGAATGTTTCTTTCTGAAGTAACGCACTAGCAGTGCAGTAAGAGAGACTATTATTTGTGACATCTGTAAACACTCCAAAAGGCATTGAGAAATAATTGCTTTCATATGTATTATCGTATATAATTGTATTATGAAAGCACATGTATTTTTACTTTTGTGATGTATAAACCCAGAGTATATGCTTTAATCGATTGTTATTGTCTAATTCGAATTTATAAGAAAATTCAGTGTCATTATTACGCTTTTGTTAGAGGAGAAGAAGAAAATCATGGGCTTGAAATTTATAACGTAACATATGATTAGTATCAATCAAATTATATATGTTCTTCATTACCCATGGCTGGTCTGTATTTTACTGTAAGAAGAGATTAGATTTGTGGTATTGAAATTTCTGCTTTTTTTAAAGTAAAAATTTCCTCTTTAATAAATGTTGGTATTTCGCAGTTACTAGGTGAAATATGTATAAGTTGGAGCAGAATAAGTTGATGATTATGTTGTAGATCGACTTGAGAGATATATCATTTGTCATCTTCTGAGTTATGATTAAGACGAAAAGACCAGGGCAGTTGCATTTTTTTGATACTTTATTTCTGCCTTTCTTATTTAGATCTTTTCTAGATTTGTACACACCAGAGTGATCGCAAGCAAAAACTTGTGTAGTACGCAAGCCATCACTACAATTCTTACCCTTTAAGAAAATCACTTTAAATCTGTTTGCTTCAGCATATTGATCAGAAATATATTTAAAGGTCTCAAGAGAGGCATAATCCTGACCATGCTAAAAAAGTGAGTTACTTGATTCTAATGGAGATTCAGGTCCAGTAGATATTTGGGTTCCAGTTGAGATTCAGGTTAAAGTGGTGATTCAGGTTCCAATGGGGATTCAAGTTCCAATAGGGACTCAGGTTCCAATGAGGCTTCAGGTTCCTATAAAGCTTCAGATTCAGATAAGATCTTGGAGTCCAATGTGTATTCGGGTTCTGGTTCCTAAAATATTAGAAATGGCTATTAGTCTTTATAAAAACATTGTATACGGTGCTGGCATTGGACGTATGTCCAATGCCAACACTGCCTATATAATATTAAATGATTAAAGCCTTACCATAAATAAGTCGTACTTGAGAAGCTATTTTTAGCTGCATGTTGGCCATTATTACCACAATTTTCTTTCAAGTCCAAAGGACTTTGTTTTAGAATTTCATAGCATAATTGAGTTATGAAAGGTTTGGTTTCTTCATTTGTTTAATTACCAATATTTAAAATTTTTATACAGTCACTAACAAACTTATAGTTCTAGTGAGGTATAGTAAATAGGTTCAAAAGTTCAAGAGATTAAAATTTTTTATTTTTTTTTGTTTTTAACCCGTACATACGTTATACATAACAAAATTTAATGTTTAGTTTATTTTATTAAGTATTCATATCTAGGTTTGGTTTAAAGAGAGGCAACTACTTTTCTCTGATTTCTTTGCAAAGGGTAACAGCTTTACGGTTGTATGTTTGAGGGCTTCAGTGCAGAGAAAATTTTAAAATTCTTTGTTTTGGTATATACTAGTAAGATATATAACACACGCATATGCCAAGTTTAACAATAACAGATATGTACTATACATACATACATATCAGGTACTCTGAGACGATCTGCTTTTTTAGGTCAGAGACATTGTTCAATGTCGAGTTATTGATCAAAGCTTTGTCACATGAAATTGCACTTTTTTGATTGGTCAATAGGCAAAAAATATATAAGTTATATATCTCTGGCCAGAGATATATAGAAAAATCCATATTTAAACTAGTAATTTGTAGCATTTTTTTCTAATTACTAGCCACATAAAGCAAGCTAGCTAATAATTAGAGGTTTTGCAGTCAAGCAAACAACACATACTCTGGCTAGTAATATTATAAATATATAATGTATTAGGGTGTACAATCTTGTATAATTACAAATATAATGCAGGTGATATAGTAATGATCACTAGAGTTCTAAAGTTCAGGTTTGGTCTAATTAGATTCAGGTTTTGGTTTAGCTAAAACTGAACCTGAACTTTAAATTTTGCAAATCTTTGAACTCGAACCTAAACTGAACTTAAAATTTATAAACCTGAACTAAACTTGAACTTGAAATATTTGTTTAGCCTGGGCTTAGTTTAAAGTTCATAAACATGTTTATGTTAAGTAAAATATATACTAAATCTTTTTTTATTTTCAATAAAATTTTTGATTTGAAGCTTTCAAGAAAACTTTTTTTTTTACTAAATAATCCTTCTTTTTAATTTCTAGAAGAGTTATAGAGAAGTGTCTTGTGATCAAAATAGAAGTTAAACATTAAATTCGGCCTAGTAAATCACGAGATATAAGTATTTTAGTCTTCGCGATTATATACTTTTTTTTTTATATAATTAAAAAAGAAAATATAGTTGTAAAAACTAAAATACTTATATCTTGTGATCTACTAGGTCAATTTTAACGTTTTAACTGCTAATTTAATTGTAAGAGACTCTTCTGCAACTTTATCTGGAAATTAAAAAGATGTTTACTTAGTAAATTTTAAAAATCATAATATTTCTTATAATTTTATTAATAAAATTATGAAAAATATTGTTATTCTTAAAATTTTACTTAATAATTCTATTTTTATGTTCTAAGTAAACTTGTTCTATGTATAAAAATAAATCATATTGATATATATTTATTTAAAATTTTAAAATTCAAGAAAAAGATGCTTAATTTTGAAATATTAACAAAATTTTCAAAATTAAGTATCTTTTTCTTAAATTTTAAAATCATAATATAACTATATACTATTATGATATATTTTTATATGTAGAACAAGTTTACTTAGAACATAAAGATAGGGTTTATTGGTAAAATTGTGAGAATTATGATATTTTATATAATTTATTAATAAAATTATAAAAATTATTATGATCATTAAAAGTTTACTAAATAATTCTATCTTCATGCCCTAAGAAAACTTGTTTTGTATATAAAAAATATATTATTTTGGTATATATTTAATTTATAATTTTAAAATTTAAAAAAAAATGTTCCATTTTGGTATTTTGATCAAAGTTTTTAAATTAAGCATTATTTTCTTTAATTTTAAAATTATACAGTAAATATATATTAATATAATATATTTTGATGCATAGAACAGTTTACTTAGAGTATGAAGATAGGATTATTTAGTAAACTTTTAAAGATTATAATATTTTTTATAATTTTATTAATAAAATTATGTAAATATTATAATTTTCACAATTTTACCAATTAATCCTGCATTTATGTTCTAAGTAAACTTATTCTACGCATAAAAATACACTATATTGGTATATGTTATTAATATTATAATTTAAAATTTAAGAAAAAGATGCTTAATTTTGGAATTTTGATCAAAGTTATCAAAATTAAGTATTATTTTCTTTAAATTCAAAATTATATAGTAAATATATATCAATATAATATATTTTTATGCATAGACCAAGTTTAATTAAAGCATAAAAATAGAATTTATTAGTAAACTTTTAAGTATTATAATATTTTTTATAATTTTATTAATAAAATTATGTAAATATTGTAATTCTCACAATTTTAACAATTAATTCTGCTTTCATATTCTAAGTAAATTTGTTCTATATATAAAAATATATTATATTAGTATATGTTTACTTTATAACTTTGAAATTTAAAAAAAAAGATATTTTATTTTGAAATTTTAATTAAAGTTTTCAAAATTTAGCATTATTTTCTTTAATTTTAAAAATTTTTTTTTTTTTATATATGAAGGTGACCACTTAGGTCCCCGGCACTTGGCTTTATTCAGGTAATTACGATATTACATCAATTTTACGAGGATACAA